CTGTGACAGGACTGCTCCGACTGCTACTGCTGAGGCGTCACATGTCACCAGGGTGGGGCTGGAGAGATCAAAATGAGCTAGAGTTCGTGGTGATGTGAGAAGGTGTTTGAGTCGTCGAATAGCCTGCTCACAATCCGCTGTCCATGCCCAGGGGGTGTCGTAGAGGGGCAGTGATTTCCAAATACTGAGGTAAGAACCTGAGATAGTAAGCAGTCATGCCGAGGAAGAATGCAAGCTGTCCAGCTGAGGTTGGCACTGGAAGGTTGAGAATGGCTGCAACGTTGGACTGCAATGGTGCGATACCTGATCTGGACACCCGAAGACCAACAAAGTCTACTGCTGGGACAGCAAACATGCATTTTTCTGTGTTTAATGTCAGATTGTGTCTAGACAGAGCTGTGAACACCCATCTGAGGCATTCGTCATGAGTGACCACGTCCTTTCCATGTACTACAATATCATCTAAGTACACAGCCATACCTGGGAGCCCTGCTAGGACAGTGGCCATGATTTTCTGAAAGCAACTAGGTGTTGAACTTAGGCCAAAAGGAATCCTCTTAAAACGGAACAAACCCATGTGAGTCACGAATGCAGTCAGGTTTCTGCTGTCCTTGTGTAGGGGTATCTGCATGTAACCTTGCTTAAGATCCAGCTTTGTGAACACTGAGGAGCCATAGAAGAGTGTCGTGAGTTCCTCAATTGTCGGAAATGGGTATTTGTCTGGCACCACAGCCTTGTTAGGCCCCGAAGGTCAACGCAGAGACGTATGCCCCTTGACCGTTTTTGTACAACCACAAGATTTGAGACCCAAGGGGAAGCATCAATGGGCTCAGTGAGGTCTGCAGCTAGCATGCCCTGTAGTTCAGTGGTGACCTTGTCGCGCAAGGCTAGAGGCACTCGTCGCAGTGGCTGGATTACAGGCGGTCTATCTGGGTAAAGCAGGGGTTTGTGGGAAAAAGCAGAGAGGCAGCCTAAACCACTGAATAGAGCGGGAAACTGTGTCTGCCATGGAGAGTCCACCTGAAGGATGGTTGCACCGCTGTTGTCATGCAGAGAAAAGTCAAGGCTAAGGAACAGGTCAAGACCCAGGATATTAGTGCCATGCTGAGTTATGGAATCTCTGGTAGACGTTTTTGCCCATATTGTACTGGCAGTTTAACTACTCCAGTCACCGCAATGCTGGCTTGGCCATAACCACAGAGCTTCAGAGGTGATGGTTGTAACTCAACATCAGAGAAAAATTTATTGTAGGTGGCCATATTAAGCAATGACACTTTAGCTCCTGTGTCAAGAAGCAGCGGAATGCAACAGTCTTTCAGCTGCACACCACATGTAGAGAAAGTGACTGAGTGAGGACCAACTGTGTGAATTACTGCTGGTGAAGGCTGCGAACTGGACTTTGATCTGCACCACCTTGCAAAGTGGTTGAGCTTACCACAATGTCTACACTTTTGGCCGATAGCTGGGCAGTCTGGGGACCTGTTGGCATGACGAATGGAGCCACAGTTGCCACATTTCCTTCTTTGTTGACTTGACTGAGGCTGTGTTTGCTGGATGATTGCACCTGCAGGCTGGAACTCCTCATCCATGACTGTATTTGCAGGTACAGAGGTGATATCACTTTTAGCTACATTAGTCTCTGCTATTTTAGCTGCACACTGTGTAGCTTCTTCAATTTGGAGTGCCAGAATGAGAGCCTTATCCAAATTAAGTCTATCATCTTCCATAAGCAGCCTCTCTCTGACCCGTGCACTGTTTGTTTTTTCAATAAGTTGGTCTCTAATTAATTCGTCACGGAGAGCACCGAATTTGCATGGCTCAGCAAGGCTTTTTAAATCAGCGACAAAGTGACTGACTGATTCACCCGATCGTTGGCATCTTTGTTTGAAATGTAGGCATTTCAACAGCACGATATGAGTCTTTTGAAAATGTCCTTTTAGTCGTGCAACAGCGTCAGAGTACGTATTTTCAGCGCCGAGCGTCTGGAAGATCCGTAATCCCTCAGCGCCGAGACAATGGAGGAGAAGTGCACGCTTTCTCCCGTCCGGGACATCATCCAAGCCCGCGGCTACAAGGTACGTCTGAAACGACACATACCACCGCTCCCACGGCACGACAGGTTCACCAGCGTGGGACAGAAATGGCTCAGGGGGAGGCAGAGATAAAGCCATCCTCATCGCCAAATGTTATGTTCAACAAAAACACATGAAAACAAAGCTTCGGGTGAATGCTAGTTTACTCAAGGAACTTCAGCGGCAACAGAACGGAATACGGTACAACTGTGAAGCATTCACATCAGCATGACTTCACGACAGTATTACTACAACAGATAATATCAACGAAGAACTGGTTAGCAACCACAACACATAATAGGACCCCTTTAAATATCACATACGTTCTGACTGGCTATGATTTTACCGCATGACAAAGTATCTTTACTATGCTGTTGACAGATGAATCACGTATGTGGTTTATGATGTCTATTCATTTGTAGGAATTATGTAATCTAAATTGTAATGTATTCAGAAATAATGGCATGCATAAAAAAGATACATTAATAATTAAATATAGTGATTCCTGACACACACATGCAGTTGGGTAATGACACCCTGAGCTGAAACCAGATACCGTTCTGTCTAGTAATGCACAACAGACCTGCAACCCATGCCAACAGGGTTATGAGGGGTTGTGTTGTGTCGGGCGCTCTGGAGGCCTCTAGGGATAGGCTTACATGGGACTGGACTTGGGAACAGGAGCTCTGTCTGGGCTTGACATGGGAACAGAATCTTTTTCTGGGCTTGACTTGGGGACTGGAGCCCTCTTTGGGCTGGACGTGGGAACTGGAGCCCTTTCTGGAGCAGACTCAGGGGCTGGAGCCGACACTGGAGCGGACTCTGAGGGCTTCTGGACTGGAGCGGGCTCTGGAGTGGACTCTGAGGGCTCCCGGACTGAAGCGAGCTCTGGAGTGGACTCTGAGGGCTCCCGGACTGGAGCGCCCGGCGGGCTTTACAATGGAGCGGCCGGCACAGTTCTGGATTGTGGCCGGACGCTCTCCAGACACCGGAGGATCCCTTCCCTCCAGCTCAGTCCAGTGGTGTCTGGGAGGTCCACGGGGCGATGGTAATTGGCCCCGATCATATCAGAGCAAATATTGCTTTTCCCCCTGTCAGGTTAACATTTTTTACATAGACATAAATGCAAGCTTCCACAAATATTGTTTCCCTGATTTTGCATTAAATTCTGCCTTCGTGAAATCCTGGAAGGACTTATATATATACCAGTATCCACATAATCTGAGGATCTGCAATGTATGTCGCAGAGAGGCTGCTACTCTCTAGGACACTGCATGTTTGGACAGTAACATAGTGAACAGTGTTCAGTTTATACAGACTTGGTTAGTGTTTTGTGTGCCACAAAGCTACAGGTGTTTTCAGGTGGGGTGCTGTCAGAATGCCCATACATGTATCAAAACAGGAACACACATACACATTGCTTCACAGTATGAAGACGACAGTGGGCGTGTGAATGGACAGCTGGGATTAATATCTGTGTAGTGTTTTCATGTGTGTGTGTGTGTGTGTGTGTGTGTGTGTGTGTGCACTGAGCTCTAATTCCATTTCACTGGCTTTAATGAATCCCATTCACTGAATCATGCTATGCAGAATTGGCACAGGGCTGAAGAGTGACTGTACGCTCACTGCATCCAGCATTTACACAGGATAAAAGTCATTCCTTTCAACTCCCTTACTACGAGTTGCTAAACACATCTTTCCTTTCCAACCTCTCCATTCTTTTCTTGCTCTGTTCTCTCTTTTCTGATATTGCACAGCATTTTTCAATCTGCATTATTAAATGTTAGCATTTAATAAATATTTCTAGTGAACTGGCTTATGCCCTGTCATTTTCTTTCAAAATAACTTCTGACAGGAAGAGTAGCAGGTCATTTTTTGTAAGTAATTAAAATAAATTTAAATAAATGAAAGATAAGCTACTACTACTTTACAAAAAAAAAAAAAAAAGTCGCTAATGTTTACTAAAAACACAGTAAAAACAATAAGAACAATAATAACTGTTTTTGATTATTATTTGATTAATAACTGTTTAAAATAGGTAATTTATTCCTGTGGTGGCAAAGCTGAATTTTCAGCAGCCATTTCTCCAGTCTTCAGTGTCACATGATCCTTCAGAAATCATTTGCTGCTGAAGGAACATTTCTTGTTGATGAAAACAGTTGTGCTGCTTAATATATTTTGTGGAAACTGTGATATTTTTTTCAGGATTCTTTGATAAATAGAAAGCTCTGAAGAATATAATTTATATCAAATACACTGTAAAAAAAGAACGTTTTTTCAAAGTTGTTTTACCTGTGTTTTGAATCACTCATTTCATTGTGTTGTGTTTTAGGGCTAAAAGAAATGTACCAGGACATTTTCTTCTTCTTTTTTCTTACAGTGTAGAAATCTTTTGTAACATTCTAAATGTCTTTACTGTAATTTTTTATTAATGTCTTTTCTAATAAAAAAAAATCATACTGCCCTCAAACTTTTTTTAACTGTAGTGTACAAAAATATTTAATTTATAAGGTGTTTAATGCACTTGTTTATTAATACTTTTCAGAGTTTCCATCTTTTTGGGCAAATTTGATAAATAGTATTTCTAGGTTTTTTCTGACCATGGGACCCCTGATTGTCAGGGTTTTCTTTAATTGTGGGTTGTTGGCATATTGGAACATTATGGAACAAGATCTTTAACTGAATAGCATGTGCTCTGATTCACAATGCAGCTTATTCTGGTCTGATATGCCGTGACCTCTTATGGCTCATTGTGCCACAGTAGTGCTGTCATTGTGGATGAGACTGCCTTGTCACAGAAATAGCCCATGCAGCTTTAGGATATCTAAGGTGCCATACTTATCAGAGTTCGATGTAACCCAGCCTGGCCAACAATCAGAAGCTCTCTTTGATATATCTGTGTGTGTGTGTGTGTGTGTGTCATCACAGACATCCGAGAGACAGCATTTGTGTATGCTATCACGGCAGCGGGTGTGACGCATGCAGTGACTCAGGCCTGCAGCATGGGGGAGCTGCTGCAATGTGGCTGCGAGGCCACGCGGAGCAGAGGGCCGCCTCCGCATTTAGCCAGTATTGGCCCAACTGAGGGGGTCAAGTGGGAGTGGGGGGGCTGCGGAGACGACGTGGAGTTCGGCTACGAGAAGTCCAAGCAGTTCATGGACGCCAGGCGGAGGAAGGGCAAGAGTGACATCCGCACGCTGATAGACCTTCATAATAATGAGGCCGGACGACTGGTATGTTAATTCATCTTTATCTTGACACATGTAGCTACAAAATAAAAATAAATAAATGTTCAAAATTGTTTACACAGGCTTTTACAGTCTTTTAGTGGCAGTCTAAATGTAATCCATTAATTGGCCCTACCTATACATTCAACAAAAATAATGGGTTAACATACACAACTATTCAAAAGTTTGGGGTCAGTTTTTCCTTTTTTTTTTAAGAAATCATTACTTTTATTCAGCAAGGACACATTAAATTAATTGACATTAAATACATTTAAAATGTTACAAAAGATTTGTAAATGCTGCTATTTTGAACTTTGTTTATCAAAGAATCATCATGGTTTCCAAAGAAAAATATTAAGCAGCACAATTACTTTCAACATTGATAATAATAAGAATTTTTTTCTTGAGCACCAAATCGGCATATTAGAATGATTTCTGAAGGATCATGTGACACTGAAGACTGGAGTAATGACTGCTGAAAATTCAGCGTTGCCATCACAGGTATAAATGACATTTTAAAATATATTTAAATAGAAAACAGTTAATACAGTATTGTAGGAGTGCTGTGTTTAGTACGATAGTCCGTACTAGGATGCATGTGCGAGAACAGTTAATGCAATAAATGTCATTTTGTCCTGGTATTTAGTTCTTGGATCACACAACCCTTATTATCTATAAAACAATAAACAAAGTTAGGAATTGCTATGACTAGCCAGGTATCTTGTATTTACTTAATTTTTTTGTTAAAGGCAGCCTCACATACAGTAGTACCTGTCGCCCTCATGCAGGTTTTTGTGTAGATGTTCGTAGATGTTTTTTTTTTTTTTAATGTTCCTGGTATGATATCAATGTGGATAGATGTTTTGCATTGATGCATAGATGATACAAGCACAGTCGTGTGCTGTTTTGCCTGTACAACCCTTCAGAGATAGTCAAGCTTAAATGAGCAGATCAAAAAGCCCAATGTGCACTTCAAAAGCCCAAGCATGGAAGAGCTCGCAAATGTTATGAAAATATACTTGGCAGAGGCTGGAGAAGACATTATGAACTGAGTTGAGACTAGTTTCATAACATCACCACTCTCTCTGTTCCCTTATTGACTGTCTATATCCATTTAATAAAGGAGTGTCATTTTTTATAAAAAAAAAAAAAACTAGGGCTTTCAAATTACAGTAATAACATTAACATGCATTCAATATATTAATGCATTTATTTGATTTAACATGGAAACTGTTTCATTCTGTTCTGTGTGATTACTAAAACAGCATTCAGAGCTGATTGGAAGTGATCAGAGCTGCAGTGCAAGCATCCCTTTTAAACACAACCACTCACATACACACACTAAAGTCCCTAGTGGAGCAGGCATTTCATAATAAAGCTCAATAAATTATATACACATATTCTGCAAGTGTCAAACACACAAACTGCAGACCCTAATAATTACAAAATTAATAATATTTACTTTTTCTACTTTGAAAGGAATTGGATGTGTTAACTCATAATGATATTTAACTGTTTAACATAATATGAATGAATTTCAAGTAAATGCTGTTTTTATATTTTCTATTCATCAAATAATCCAAAAAAAAGTATCACAGTTTCCACAAAAATGTAAAAAAAAAAAATAATAATAAATTCTGCATTGATAATAAGAAATGTTTCTTGAGCAGCAAATCAGCATATTCAGTGATTTCTGAAGGATCATGTGATACTTAAGACTGGAGTATGGCTGCTGAAAATATTATAACAATTATAATATTTAACAATATTTTCATTAATAAATGCAGCCTTGGTGAGCAAAAAAAAACATTAAAAAGTCTTACCGACCCCAAACTTTTGAATAGTAGTATTTTTCATTTTTCTTTCATATTTTAGTATAGCAGAAACAAATTTAAGTGTGTCTTTAATAAAAGGAGTGTTTAAACCTTTGTTTTTTTTAAGCAATCATCTGATGTCAGCATTGTAGCTAATTTTGTAATAATGCACAAGAGAAACCTCTGGTGCAAGTGTGTGCTAGATCATTTTGAAGTATACAACTACTCTTATCTCAGTTTACAATTTTATAGTTCATTATTATTCAGTAGTACTGAATCAGTACTCTAAAGAAGTCAGATTTACGGTTTCCTTCAAGCCATCATCAGTCGGCCACTGGCCAAATCCTCAGATTAGTTACTCGTTAGTGTCAGTAGTGCTTCATCTTCCAGGGGTCACTGCCTCACAGCCTAAGGTCCCGTTAGCATGGGGTCAATCACAGGTAAATAGGCATTAAGGGGGCATATAGGCATGTTTGGCAGATGGTGATTTTCTTCTACGTTAATGAGGACTCAAATGCCACGCAGCGACTTGTTTGGAATTAAAGTGAGCAAAAATGTTAATGCAGCATTTATCAGATGTTAATTTCGACAGGTATAGAACTGTACAAATCTATGTTTTCAAGCTCTTGGATTGGCTTTCGAGTGGCTGGAGGCTAAAGAGGGAGGGGAGAGACAAGGGTAAATTCCTTCTAAATAGTTTCTCCTTTTATCTCACTGAACTATCTTTGTGTCTTGAACTGCAGGCGGTGAAGAATTATATGAGAACTGAATGTAAATGCCACGGGCTGTCTGGCTCTTGCACTCTGAGGACCTGCTGGAAGAAAATGCCTCACTTCCGCGAAGTGGGTGACCGCCTGCTTGAGCGCTTCAATGGGGCATCCAAAGTGATGGGTGGAAATGATGGTAAGACTCTCATTCCAGTGGGGCAGAACATCAAACCTCCGGACAAGCAAGATCTCATCTACTCGGCCGAGTCGCCGGACTTCTGCCTGCCCAATCGGAAGACGGGTTCTTTGGGCACGCGGGGGCGAATGTGTAACAGCACGGCGCTGGACGTGAGCGGATGTGACCTTCTGTGTTGTGAGCGGGGCTACCGGGACGAGACAGTGGTCCTGGAGGAAAACTGTCTCTGCCGTTTCCACTGGTGCTGCGTGGTCCAGTGTAAAAAGTGCTTGGTCAGGAAGGAACTGAGTTTGTGTCACTAACCGAGAACCCTTGACGATGGGATTGAGAAGAGCGATTCCGAACAAGGAAGTAGTGCCAGTCTCAGAACAAAAGAATCTACAGCATTCCAGATTCATGCATACACATTTCAAACCCCGAGGCTTTGGAAAAGCCTAGAGGAGTGTCTGACTTGTGATTCACCCCTCAGAAAACCCAGGACCACTAGTCTCAATGACTACACTCAAGATTTAGGAGGGGTTCTTCAGCTGTGAAGTCAAGACATTCAGAAATCTTCTTATCAAAGGGCTTTTGTGCATCTTTTTCTGTTAGATCAGCCCTATATACAGTACATTATGAGTGCAGACTGAATGAATGGAAGCACATCCACATCAGCACCACAGCCATGGTGTAATGGCTGTTCATGCTCTGAAGTGACAGATCATCAAGGATTTGGCATATTGCTCTGTAAAGAGGGCTAGATATGGAACAAAGACTGTTATTTATAAGCATTTAATACCATCATGACTACTTCTTGTGATTAATGCCCTGTCATTTTCTTTCAAAAGCACTTTGAGAACTTTAAACAGAAAGAGTAAAAGATAATTTTTCTTTTAAACTCAAAGGTAAAAAGCAAATGCAAGAGAAGCAACATGTAAAAACTCTTTATCTTTGTGAGATATTTAACCTATGGGGCTTTTAATGCACTTTTACTGATACTGATCACTATTTTTCATTGGTTTGCTCCTAAGTTGAATGCATTTCCATGCAGTTTGTGTTGGTTTTTAAGAGTACTTGTATTGTTGACCTCATATACAGTATATGCTCTGAAAAGCCTTTCAGTATGCTAACACTGCTCAGCAGTTCTCAAAATAGATTACAAATGACAAAGATCACAGAAATGTATGAGAAATTGTCGTTGTTTATCACCTTATTGTTTTGTTGTTGTTGTTTTTTCAAAGGATTTCTCATTGGAGTGTTAACAGGTCATCAAAACATCATTTCAACACCATGTTCAATAAATTCAGTGTCATCCAAATGCATTATGTTTGAAATATAATATTTCTGCAGTACAGTTAATGAAATCAGAAAACAGAAATGTTAAGAAACAGACATAAAGAATGCAGAGCTTCGCAAGCTACTTAAGGGGTCAGCCATGAGACTTTCATCGAGTGTTAATCTCAAGCACCCTGTCCTTTGTTTGGAATGCATTGCATTTTTGTAAAATACCTTCACAATATATCATCTGGAGTTTGAGCCACAGACCATTGAGAAATAAAATGTTCAGATGCATTCGTTTTAGGCACATAAGCAAAACTGATTTGAGACTGAAAATGACACTAAATCTACACTAAATGTAAATTAAGATGAAATGTGTTGCTTGAATGACTGCATCCAGCTCTATTCATCTGTAGACTTTTCTAAATTTGTTGATCCTCTCTCTTACGCAACTTCATGTCTGAAAAACAATGTGCGGAAAGATGTAAAAAATGATCTACTACTCCTCAAAACAACTGTTTATAAAGTGATCTTGCAATAATTAATTCCAGAACTGTATATTTTTAGATATTTAATCATAATGCATTTCAGATTTGAAAAACAGAAGACTGGAAGCGACAATCCTACTTATAGCTGCTCATCACTGAATAAAATGCACAAAAACATATTTCTCAGTTATTCTGACATATTTATCAGTGGGTTTTTTCTTGCTAAGGAATTACTGATAATTATCTATCTATCTGTCTGTCTATCTATCTATCTACTACTTTGTATATATATACAGACTTTTAATTGACAAAGTGAGACTACACTTAGTATAAAATGTACGATTAAATAGTTTATTATTCTCTAACATATTCAGATTGACAGACAAGACCTGGCGAGAATCCATTTATAAAGGTTTGCATCAATAGTCTGTCTTTGTCTCTCATTTTTCCTCAATGATAATTTGGTTAAATGTTGTAACTCTCACATGACGTTTTGACTGGGAGATATGATCCCATTTCAGCCTGAGATATTTATATAGACAGCATAATGAAGCTTATGTCACACTTTCCTTTCATTGACGTTAAACAAATCATTCAAATGTTGTTCTAACTGGCTCACTTCACACAGGGTCAAGGCTCAATGTTTCCCACCTCGCTCTCTCGCTACGGCAATTCAGAGATTTTAGTTTCAAGTGTATCGCTTTGCCACTCAGAAGAAGGTGTTGTTTTGAGTTATTTAGGCAGTTGGAAAAGACTCCCTTTGTATTAGTATGAGTCCTGCAAGACGGCACAAGTTCATATTTTCCAGGAATTTAAGCTGTGTAGCCAACAGTGTTGAAGATAGAGGGTAAGATGGAGAACGGGAATGTGCCAGGAGCATTGGTGAGGGAATGAGAGACAGAAAGAGACACAGAACGTTAGACAGCCCAGAGCAGGACGACAGCAGAGTCATACTGCAGACAGCCAATAGATTTATAGAAGCGTTGGTATTAATATAGCTGCTGTGTTTCAATGTATTTAAACACACACACACTGTGGCTGTGGAATGTGCAGGATGAGACAATCGTTCTGTCTTTGCCTGCTGATAGTAAAACACACAGGGCACTAATGAAAGCCTGCCACTGTGAGTGGATACACGGCATGATGGGATACACTCTCATTTCCTTGTATCACCCAGACAATGAGGTGCAAAGACGCTCAGACGAGAGGCCATGAACTCTAGTTGCAAGTGCAGAGGTGGTAATCATCATTTAAGCTGCTGAAGAATGAATTTATGATTCAAGATTTTTTGCAGTAATGGAGAATTTGCTGTAGGATTTATATCAGCATAGAGCAAAAAGTGTCTGAAAGCACAGAAAGGAAATGGTTTATGTGCATGTGTACACAGGTGCATGTGTGTGGCAGATAGCCTGAGTGAATAAAACTGTAACGTAATACCACCATGCGTCCCACTTGTTCTGACAACCAGTCTTTATCTAAATAGAGATGCTTGCTTTAGGAAGACATACTCATAAAAGTTGAGCTGTGAATAAAGGCTTTGAAACCTCGCAGGAGATTTTATCAGGAGGTAATCAGTCTAATTACAACGTAGGCTCTGTCAGACTCTATTCTGCGAGTCTGTGAGGTGCATGATGGAATGGAAGAGTTCACTGTACAAAATGTTTTGCAAAAAACAGCAATTTTTGTCAAATTTATTACAATTACTGTGACTTAACAGTTCAGGTCTAGTGCATTACAGTGATCTTTACTCATAATTGTGTGATTTCCATAATATGCACGACAAGAATAACTTTAATTTTAAAGAATTAACTTTAATTAGCTTTCCCTAATTAAAGTTAGGGAAACTAACTTAAATTAGTGGTTTTCTTAATAAGACATTAAGACATTCTTATACCAAATGTTTATGTATGTGTGTGTGTGTGTGTGCTTGTTTATATGATTTATCAGAGCACAAATTTGTATAATGACATGGGTATTACTCTGATATAACAACGTTCATTTGGTTTATGATGAAATTTCTAAGTTTTGAGTCCTCATAATTTAGGTTGCTTACAAACAATATTAAATTAAAAATGTAAGTATGTGCAGAAATTTTTGTGTGATGGGTAGGTGTTTGTACAGTACAAAATCATTACGCCTATGGAGTGTCCCCAGAAAACAAAAACCAAGGTGTGTGTGTGTGTGTGTGTGTGTGTGTGTGTGTGTGTGTGTGTGTGTGTGTGTGTGTGTGTGTGTGTTTTCTGGGACAACATTCCTTGTTGTTCCCCATGATGGCTGCCCTGCACCTGATTATTTAATAGAGATTATCTGTTTTACTATAACATGGCTACATAGCCTATAGGCCTACTGTAAATGTAGCAAGTTACAGTCCTAAAGTCAATCACTAAACTTTTTTCTGCATTTATTTACTGCATGTAATAGTGCAACCAGCTGTGTTACCACAGTTGCACTGGCTCTGAAAATGTTAATTTAATTCAAATTTAATACAACTGTTATTATCCCACAATGCAACATATTAATGCAGTTATAAATTGTGGAACTAATCTGGGTTATTTTCACAGTACAATTCCGAATACAGTTATTAATTGTAATAAATTACTGCTAAATCTTGTCAAATCCTGGAGGTCTTTTACAGAGGTATATTTATACGTCCTGCTACAGGGCATGGAAGTTCAGCCGTTTCGAGGAGGGCCGAAACAGCCTCATCTCCCCTAATGGCAACGACTCTGTTCGGTAAATAACACAGTTACCTGCACCATTTCTTTTTGTGGATAAACGAAGTTTAGTGCTCTCACTGGGTTGTTAACCTTTCAGTGTCAGGATTTTAAGTGCTGATAATATCTCCAGAACAAAGCTTAGGCCTACTCATAGTTACCATCTTTGTCTCTTTTTGAACAGACTAAAACATAAAGAGACCCAACGTGCAAGTCTGTGTCAATAAACAATGTTGTGTGCGTGCTCTCCGCACTGAAATCGCCAGATGGAAATTGAGTCTCTGTCCTCGGTTAGATCAGGCTTGCTGTTTCCAAAATGGACCTGCAATGAAGTGTTTATGGATTTGTGGTTTGCAGGCATACGGTCTCAAAGGATGATGCAAACCTCTGGACACACACACGCACGCACGCACGCACACACACACACACACACACACACAGGTTTGTTTTTGTGAAAAGTGGGGACATCCCATAGGCGTAATGGTTTTTATACTGTAGGCTACAGACCGTATATTCTATTGCCCTACACCAACCCTACCCCTAAACCTACCCCTTACAGGAAACTTTGTGCTATTTCAGATTTTCAATACACAAAGTGGGGACATGGGGTAATGTCCTGAAAAGTCACCTTCTCCTTGTAATACCTATGTCATACCTTTGTCATTATACAAATGTATGTCCAGTGTTGGGGAGTAACTAGTTACATGTAACGGAATTACGTAAATTTAATTACAAAATAAAAGTAATTGTAATCAGTTACAGTTACTAAGAAAAACTTTGTAATTAAATTACAGTTACTTATGAAAATGTTAAGGATTACAAAGGGGGTTACATCTGATTTTTTCACACACACTCCCACATACAGATTTAATTTAGTTCTTT